AATGATGTATTCAGCTGCCTCATCTACTCTGTCAACAAAACGATGCAAAAGACAACTCCAGTCAGGACAAAACTGCAAGCTAACATAACATCAGGTGATGTCCAATTGGCCTTTAGTTTTTTTTGTAAGCCGTTTACCATTTCCAGAAACAATTAAAAAAAAACCCACATGCTCTCAAACCCTGGTACCGTAGTTGGGGGCTACATGCTTTGAGCCATCTGTGTGCTGTTACCACTACTATATGCAAATGCCATGTAATATATTGTATTAGTATAGCCATAATTCATGTCTCATATGCTGCCCTCTTGTGGTTACTTCGCTAATTACACCCCTTTTTTCTGTATTTCCTTCACTTATATAATGTGACAACTCCTTCTTCCTGTGTGTTCAATTCTGCCATTTTGTGGCCACCTGTGCACACGAGGAGGAAGGCATTACTTTTTTTTGACCTGCAAATACCATCATTTTAACCATCTGCTGCATTCTATTGTCTGCTAGTAACCTGCTGCATGCAATAAATATCTTCATGGATGAAAGGTATTTGGCGAGTTCAGCTATGTGATGAAGATTGTACGCGGTGATTGTATCTGCTACATGCAGGCCAGGCATAGAGGTCTCAGGAAGGGATAAATCCCTATTTCAACAATTGGATTCAGAATAATCTGCGTTAATGAAAATCTATACCGACAGAAGATGAAGGATGCCGTTGCTGACCTCTACTTTTTTTTTTTTTTTTAATTGTTAAAAGAAAACAATCCAACGGAAGGTCCCTGCAATAGAAGCGCTCCTATACTCACATCTATGAGGGCCAATGTCTTCTAACATTGATATCATGCTTCTAGCCTAGGAAGTCTGTGGCCTCCCTACCGCACACCATGGTTTCATCCTTCAACCCCCTACTTCACTTTTCTAGTAACATAGGGATGGGATGAAGGAACCATGTGGAAAAGTACGCAGCTATTCAACCTAACCGGAAGAAGAGTGGAGGTTGAGGTGCAGAGAGACATGGCTGAAAAGATCATCTATTGTAGGGGACTTCCTTTAGGATCATTTTCAGCCTGACAGGATTCCTTTCACATGCCTGTTGCCAGGTTGTCATGATGATCTGCTGGCCGCCCCAGTACTGGTTTCCTTTAAAACAGAGCTGCTAAGCAAGACTACAACAACTTGTAGCTGTTCAGTTTCTTTAACAAGTTTATCTCAGAATCATGCAGTTGGTTTTAGAACATCAACTCTTTACCTCCCAAAAGATATGTAATTCTGTTCAGAATGTAATCGAGATACCCCTGCCACACAGCACAGCCAAGTCCTGACCCTCTATGCGGACTGCAATGCAGTTAGGCCATACAGCCTGGCCAAAGACTCATCCCAACCTTTGAATGGGCAATGTGGGAGCAGCAGCCAACTGACAAAGTCATCCCTGTTCTTCCTCTTCTTTAAGCACACTCCCTGTATTAGGGTGAGCATACCGTGCAAAGCCATGGAGTTCTGGCTGGCTCAGCAAAGCCCTGCACAGTAAAAGGGAGAGGCAACATACTAATAGCAAGCCAGATTCTGATACTGACAATAAGAAGTAAAAATAGATTTCTTTTTTCCTAACTACATAAGGGTTAGTTCACACCAAGCACATAGCAGATGCAGAGCAGTTACAGAACGGATCAAAACTGCATCCAATGTATTCCAATGGTATTTGGTTCTAGTTCACACCAGAGCGTTCAGTTCCAGAGCATGTGAAAAAACTGCAGCATGCCCTATTTTTTCTGCTCTGGAACGCACGCAAATGCATCAAAAACAGCCCGGAATGCGGCAAAGACGTGATAAAAAACGCACTGCACTGCATGTGCAGAAACTCATGCAGATCTGGTCTGCATTTGGTGTGAACAAGGCCTCACTGTATTTTTTATTCTGTTCTGCAGTTTAGGTTTGGTCTTTATTTGAAGAAGTCTGTGATATTATGTAGAATTTAATGTTTGAAAGAGAAACCGATTGTCAAGACGTAAAGTATATCTGCCTAGTAACACTACAATGTAAGAAAGACAAAAGCCTGAGATGCTGGTCACCCGTAATGCAAGCCAACTGTGTTCCTCTGTTTTCCCTCCATTGTGTAAGGCTCGGTGACGTTCACAAGTGTGTTGTCTGCAATTGTGTTTTCTTTTCAATGTGCTATTAGTGATGATTGAAAGGTACTCTAACATGGCTTCTTCCTGGTCCTCCTCGCCATTACTATGACAACACAAGCACTTAGCAGAAGTGAATTATGGAAACGAGCTGAATTATACCACACGCAGACAAATATTCAGATATATGCTAGGCAATCAATGTGCAAAATCCATACAGCTACTACTAGATGCTTGATTGCAAGAACAGTATAGTCAACATAATGAATCGTTTTAAAGATCACCATTGTCAGGATTTGCTGAAATCTACTATTTTATTAGTTATGCAAAAGCTTTTTTTTTCTTCTTTCTTTTAAACAAAAGTCACTGACCTACTTACTAAAGTCTTTATTATTACATCCTGCTTTAGATCAGCCATGTAACAAACTGTGAACCTAGCCATACATGTTATATGTATTGTTATTTGTTCCATGTGAGAAGGCTTTATTTTTCATAAATATTCATTCTATGTATCGTCTTAATCTGTATGCCGGAGCTGAGCCGGATCCAGGTGCATGCCAGGACATCAAACATCTTTCTATACCTATTAAGAAGGGAATGCTGGAGAGACCACACTAACCCTGGTTCACACCTAGGAGTTTTTGGGCAGTTCGAAAAGTGTAGCATAACAATTAAACGGTATGCATCTTTTTTTAAATTGTAGTGCACTGGAACGCAGGGCATTGCAGTACCACGCGTTGTATTATATTAGACATTTTAATTAGTTTCATGGATTTAAAATAATGTGAATTGTAAAACAAAACTATTATTTAAAATAACACACACACAAAAAAAAATTATATTTCTAATTTTTGTTTTCAGTTTATATATTTTTTCATTTGTTTGCATTTTTAATGTTTATTTTACTTTTTTTATTTTAAATTTTTTTAGACTTTTTAATTTTAGTCTATTTAAAGTGACATAAAAATTAAAGTATAAAAGTTTTCCTCCTCCCCCCAATGCTAGTGTAAGCGCTTACCTTAAATGATGTCTCTTAAACCGATCTTCTTTCCTGTCGTTTTCAGCTGTCCCTCCAGCGAGTCTCTGATCCAACGCTGACTCGTCTGTCCTTGCTGGCACTTCCTGTCCCACGGAGTCTGCGTGCGGGTGCACGCTGTCCATATACTTACCTTGTGTCGCTCGTTTCCCGGACGAAAATCTGAACTGCGCATGCGCCTGCCCCAAGATCCTTTGCGGCCGCCCGAGATTTTTCAAATTTTCGGACGGGAGCGCACGGCGAAGACACAGGTAAGTTTTAACCTCTTTTAAAACTTAAAAAAAAAAAGTTTCTGCATATATCTACTGCTTGCTAGCATTAGATAAATGAAAAAAATTAATAACACTAACTTTATTTTTTAACTTTATTGCTGGGAGCAATAGCCAGCCTGCTACTGGATTTCTCAAATTGCAATAGTTTTTGCAATAGCTGATTGACAGCAGGCAGTGGATGGGTTAAATAGCCAGCCTTCTATTGGCTATTGCATTTTAAAATATCCAATAGCAGGCTGGGTATGGCCGCCAGCCTCTAGATGCAGAAGAGGAAAGGGGTTGTAGAACGGAAGAGCAGAGCAGCGGCAACTAATCGATGATGAGAATCGTTGGCAACTATTCTCATTATCGATTATAATCAATTAGTTGCTGCAGCCCTATATGAAGTCTCCCTAGGTCCCGGTTCACACCTGTGCGTTCCGTGAAATGCACACAAACATGCTTGCGGTGCAATTCATACTTAATGGCATCCCAAGCCCGGCCAGCAAGATGCATGTTTCTGCTCCACGTTCGCTCGTGAAAACACAAAAAAAAACCCGCCAAAAATGCTACATGAGCTTTTTTACCACGCATCTATCAATGGGGACGCGCGGCAAATGTGGCACACAAATGTTCGCAAACATGCACGAACGGGACGCACGTTCCCTCGACGTGCAGGTGTGAACCGGGCCTAAGACCTGTTCATTTGGGCGTTATTACCCGGTGTTCAGAAAGCATCTCAAGATGAGTGTTTACGCTGCTTTGTGTCACGGTGCTTTGTGTTGGATGCTGCAAGAAATGTGTGTCACATATTGAAGTCTATGTACCTATTCTGATGTCAAAGGGACTTCCTAACACGTCACAAATCGCCATACAGATCATTGGAAAATGTTCAGATACGTTTCAGAAGCATAGGATAGTTCTATGGTTCATAACCAGGGCTTGAAAAATGTGATGGTGTCTCACCAATCAGTCAAAAATGTCACCAGTCAGCATGACCGGACTATAGCCTTGCAATTTATGTAAAGCAATTTCGGGGACAGATAGAGCTTTCTTTTAGAGGTATATAATCACCCCTGGGGGGGGGGGGTTATTTTTTTTACTATATCATGAAAAAAGTACCGTAAATTTAAACAAAAAACAGTTTCCCTACATCATGTTATAAGACATTTATTCTTACCCATATTTTTGGTAAAACATAAAAGTCGGGGTCACGTCGGGCAAAAAGATACCAAACATGTCAAGCCTTAAAATTGCGTGCGCCAGCAAAAAACGACCACACTGAAAATTGGCCATAGTTTAGTGTTATCAGTAATTAATGGCCCTAAAATGATTGCTCTCACTCCATGCGGGGGACTTAAAAAAAGAAAAAAATGTTATGCTTCTCTTTTTTATGATTCTTTAATTTTTGTATTACTTTTTTTTTTCTACACACAAATGTATTGCTATTACATGGGGGGCTAAGAAGCCCCCTATGTGATAGCCAATTTACATGACAGGTCCTCTTCATTGAGACATCAGGGGTCTCCAAGACCCCTAATGTCACCTAGGGACCCCCAGAGAAGCTGTTGAAGCAGAGATCTGCTTCATCAGCTTCTGTAGATAGAGAGTGACACTGAATGCAGGAAGTGATGTAATGTACATCCCTTCCTGCATTCGGGGACTGAGAGGAGATCAAAGGGAGATGGTGTACTGATCTCCTGTCACAGAGCCGTGCCGGTCCGGCCGCATCGGGCACAGCGGATCTCGGGACCGGCAGTGACAGCTGCTAATACAAGCGATCGAGTGTCTCTGGAGACGCCCGATCACTTGATTGTAAAGGTGGCCATACACTTTACAACCAAATTACTTTACATGGTTGTAAAGTAATTTTAAAAAACGTACGATCTGCCCATCTTGGGCAGGCAGATCGTACTAGCGATCATCGCAAGCCCGCCCCCCTGAGGGGCGGGCTTCCGATGACCGCAATGCTGAACGGGCAGTTCGGCATTTGTCTCCCGAGCATCATTCAAACCAGCTGAAAATCGTAAGATTTTCGGCTGGTTTTCTAGCATGCTCCTTAGACAAAAGATGTGCGACCGTACAGTAGAAACGGTCGCACACCTTCATTCACACTGCACGATTCTCGTACGATCGCAGGATTTCCCGCGATTGTATGGGCACCTTAAAGCTCCTGGCCGGACGTGTAATTACAACAGCCAGCTGGGAAGCGGCTCGTCGGGCTCCACCGTCCTCTCATCAGAGAGGACGAGTAGCTTTTTCAAGCCCTGTTCATAACCATGCTGGGGTTTGCATATGCTAACATAAATATTTGCTGAGAGGCAATAAAACCTGTCAAGTGCTTGCTGAACACGTCAACACATGATCAGAGTACGGAGCATTAGGTAAGCGAATAACAGGACTGATACTGGCTGCGTGAACACAATATACAAAACATGCCTGCAGTCTGAATTAACAAACAACAGACAACCTGTATGGATAGAAATAAAGGAGTGGGCTGAATCTACTATAAAAAGGCATAGACTCTGGATGGATGGGCATCATGAAATAATTTTCATGTCTATGTCATAAGCATGGCTTTAGGCTATGTTCACACCATGTCTGGATCAGATCTGTAACGCAGTGCATTTTTTAGCTTAAAATGGGCTTCCAGTGCTTTTGTATGCATGTTTGATGCGTTTCAGTGCATTACAAACCAGAGAAAATGAGACAAGCAGTATTTTTTTTTGTCTGGACTGGAACAGATTGCGCTGGTGTGAACAGAGCCCAGAAATATCAAAGGGATACATTGGGATGCTTTTTTGGTCCTGGAACAAACTGTTCTGGTCTGGCACTGGTCCGGACATGGTGTGAACAAGCCCTTACTCCTAGCAGACTTTGTTTTTATATTTATTTTTTTTGCGTTATTTCTCCTGCCATCCTATGATTTATTGTTAAAAAGCAAAGTAGGTCAGCGCCTAAAAAGGTTCACCTACTTTTAACAATATTTCAATGTAAAAGGTCCTTGTGTATGTGTGTCACGGCGCATTGCCAGTCAATGTACCTACACTATAGCTCACTACAATGCGCAGATCCAAAACACTCTGAAAAATCATGCTGGCCATATTTTTATGAGCATTGCGGTGCACTGACAATCCAATCACAAGTGATGACCATAAATGTGCATGAGGACATAGATCTACAATTACAGCGACAACAACTACATACAGCTGGTAGAGAGGATTTCTCAGAATTTTCACACCCTCCCTACTCATGTAACTGGCTCACTGCCTCCCTCAGAGATTAAATTCTCACCGTCTACTGAATGTAATAAAGAATCCCCAGCACAGTCACTATGTTTAGTGCACAGGGAGTGTTAGTTTAGAATGCCAGGGATGCAATCCACGATTAGGGAAGAATAGCAAAAGCACAACCTTCTACATACCACCTATTGTCAGAGTCTTCAGCAACTGCATTGGACTGGCCTATCCAAAGATTCACAAAAGCAGGGGCATGTAAGGGTAATTCATACAATTTGCTAAAATACATGCAACGTAATGAGCTCACCTGGCGCAGATTTCTTTTTAAATACTTTACACAAATGACATCTGTTGAGCAGTCTCCATAGGTGGAGATAAGGGCTGCTCTTGGTGTTAATCTGGTGCAGATATCTCTGGTGGCTAACCAGCATTGTGTTTACCAAACACATGTATTTCAGATACTGAATGCTAACAAGATAAGGGAGCGGGTTTAATGGCTTAGTGCCCATACACAAAGCAATTGAAGACAGAATAAACTGAACCAGAAACCAACATCCCTGGCTGATCCGCACATGGCCCCATGAATCAACAAGTGTTAGATCACCGTGCTGATCTCTGCGGACTATTTGGAGGACTGGGATATTAATAGAAGCCTATCCTCCCACTGTTGCTGTAGAGAAGGTGTGGTCAGGCAGCTGGCACAGGCTGCTGGGTTATATACACTACACAGACCTTGACTCGTGTGAAGTTTGGCAAAGACTGTTCCAAGAACAGGTGTACAATAAGAGGGCAGCTTTCCTTTATGCCGAGTGCCCAGCAAATCACAAGCAGAGGTGTTAAAGTGGGTAAACTTACTGCGAAAGATCAACACTTATGTATTGTTGAGTCATTTTATTATTTATGCATGGACAGTGCAATACATTATTCAGCTATTCCATTTAAGCACAAAGTGCATGCCAACAAAGAAAGGGAAATACACAGGGCTATCAACTAATACTTGAATCAAGAATTTCTGGATGAAATCTGGAAACACAATTTTAAGTTTATGTTCATGACTTTATTTTGACATGCTGCACTGTCACTGCACTGCAACACAGGACACCGCACTGCTGTGCAAGGACCTGCATTGAGTGTACAGTTTGTACACTTCAAATAAAGTTATACAAAAAATGTAAACAGTGCTTTGTTTTAGCTGACAGGCCCTAAAAGCAATATATTACAGATTATTGTAACACATTTAACGGGCAATTTTTCTTGAAGGGCCCTTCCATACAAGCCCATCCACTAAAACACAGCGTTTTATCAGTTAGGCTAGTGCGTTATGGCAGCTCTGTCAGTGTGCGTTGTAACAAACACTGCTGGAACTGTCACTATTTACATCTTTTTTTCCCTTTATGTGGAGTGTACAATGCGTAACTCCATTCAGATCCCCGCACTGCAGCCTATGGTGACCTGTGGCGCTAAGACAAAATTAAATATGTTTTTTCACAGCGCACCACCCATTACACCCACATTGTGGTGTGATCGGGACACATTGAAATAGATGGTTTTCCATGTGTCCTAGCGTCGAGTTCCGTTGATCTGGTACGGTAAAATACAGGTCACTGCTATATGTGTGAATGGGCCCTAAATGTAAGGTTAGAGTAATGTTTAGTAACTCAGTGGTACTACACAAATCTTAGAGCCAATTCACACCAGGTCGTCTGTGCATCAGCGTGGTTTCTGTTCCGATTTCAAAAGGGAGGTTTTGGGAGGAGTTTTTTTATTGCATTTCAGTGCTGAAACGCAATTAAAAACAATGCGCTCATCAGCGCGGTTCAATTGAAAGCTGTATGGAAACAGCACTGTTCAGCGTGGCAAAAATAGTGCAGGGAGCAGTTTGGATTGTGATGAGCCGCTCGGCCGCATGAACGGTCCACATAGCAATGTGTGAGAATGTTCATGCGCGGCCAAACCGCCCCACTGTGAACGGGGTATGACACAGTGGATTGCTCTGTTTTGTGTCACATTCATTTTTATGACAGGTGTTACATAAACGATTAACAGCCCCACAACTGATCCCCCACAAATCTGCAATCGAATCACTCAGATGAAAGTATTTGAGGTGTTGCTGGAGATTCAACACTTCAGAACCATTCATGGATGAAATTCCTATAAATATACCTGTGAGATTGATCTCTGGACTGACGCATAAACTAAAACTGCATACATTTGCATCCCAGGGCCCACCAAGGTAACCCAAGCACATGCCTCTACCTCAATATGCAAAGAGGTGAGCAGGTGGTGTTACTGTAGCCCAGGCAGCCATCTGATGTATCACACATGTGAATCCTATATTCTGTGACTGCACCCCGACAGAGCTAACTTTCAGTACTGGTTTTTCTGCCGACACGTTCCTCAGTCTGATGGTCAGCACTGTTCAACACTCTTCTGAGACCAGGTCGTCCTGGACCCACCCCAGCCTGTGACTGCACAGTGGAAAAGAGAAGCAGCACAGTGATGAGCTCACCTCTCTGTCCCTTTACCCTTTCTTGCTATCAGCATATGAACTGATGGTCTCCTAGTTCTAGTTCTTCATCTGCAGTTCTGCTTTACACGAGGCAGACACCAAGTCTAATTTAGGGACTTACAGTGCACGGCTGTATTCATGATTACAAAGGTGCAATAGTCGGAGCCTTTAATAATGCCTACAGTTTTAAGCTGAACTCCAGCTATCCTTAAAAATTCCACTTGCATACTAACCATTGAGGTGAGAGAGAGGGGGGTCCACTGCAAGGTGAATCATTTAAGTATAGCTAGCGTTTAAAGTACAGCTTTAAAATAATACCTGGGGACTGTGCTATTAGGGTCCTTGTTAAAGCACTTCCTGTAATGTGGTGACAACACTCCCAGTCTCTGTTTTCCAACTGCTGTGGTGCATTGTCACACGCGGTTCTAGTGGAGACTATTTGTGGCCATACCAATACTCATTGTGCAGCCATGGTCCACCATTGTCACCATTAAGAAGCTGATCCAGAGAAATGACACATAGCTACCACTGCAGTGTGAACAAGCAGACAGGAAGTGCTTGGAGGACATCAACAGCATCGAGATATAAAAAAGGAAAAACATGGAGAATAATATTTTCAAAAAGAAAAAAACCCATAACAATTATTTATGATCCACAGTGCTTGAGCAAACTAAATGTCACCTAGTCAGGGTTCACATCTGCTGGAAGTACACAAACATTTTGAGCTTTTGTTTATCTGAAATTGAAGGTTATGTTTTGTAGTCCATGTGCTAAATATTTTCATAGCAAAGGTCACGTTATTCCTCACTTTTCAGATTTTGGAACTCAGACATTAAACAGACATTATCAACAAAAAATTCC